ACATACCCTGTGTGGAGCCCAACATGAGACTTGAACTCACAACCCTGAGATCGGGACCTCAGCCGAGATCAAGAGTTGGACACTTTGACTGAGCCACCCAGCCACCTCATCAGCTTAGGTCTTGATCACAGGGTCATGAGTTCAGGCCCCAAGTTGGGCTCTATGCAGGGGATGGAGCCCACTTAAAAAAAGCAAAAGAAAATAGAGCACCTCCCCCATATCATCTATCCCTTGCCCCAGCATACACACAGCTTCCTGCATTATCAATGTCCCCCACCAGAAAAAAATGAGGATATTTTATTATAGAAAAAGCATCCCAAGAAATAGGATTTCATAGACACTGGTAGGTGAACAAATACAACTTTAAAAGCAAATACAAAGTAAAGAGGCTTTTGTGACAATCATGACCCTGTCCTGACACATCATTATCATCAGTCTATAGTTCACGTTATGGCTTATGCTTTGTGTCATACATTCCGTGGGTTTTGGCAAATGTATGATAACATGTATCCACCATTACAGTATTAAACTGAGTATTTCCACTACCTTAAACTCACCTATCATCCCATGCCATATATATTTTTAAAATGCATATAATGGCGTTAGGCTAGAGAGAAAATAAAACCTGATTGATATTCATTCTAAATGCTCTTTTGAGCTTTTGAGGCTTTTATGAAGTTAACACTTTATGCTATTTCCTATTCTGTTTTTCTCAGCATTACTTCATATATTGACTTGGTTCACATGCTATTTCTAATAGTTCTAGAACATGCCATGGTCTAAACAGTTGATAGCTCACTCTAGTCATTTGTTATTATTTTTATACTATATTATCTTGCAGAATAGATTTAGAAGTAGATCAGAATATGATTCATATACACATTGATATAATATGAATAATAACAATGCATTTTGCAAAGGTTGGCTCACTGGACATAAACTTGAAGTCCGGCCTCTAGCCAGGGTCCTATCTAGCAGCCCCTGAGACAGAGTGTTCCGTTTCTCTTTTCATGTCTGTGAAGGGAAAAGACCCCAGAATGTCCAGAGGGGACTTAATTACACGCAAGCTGCAACTTGGATAGAAAGTTCTATCCAATGCACAATACAAATCTCCTTGAATTTAAGCTTTCCACTTGGTTCTCAGAAGGGTGGACAGTTTTTCTTGCCTGTATAGGGTGTCCCTGTGCAAATCAGGAGAGTGTGATGCGTAACAGGAATCATGAATCATTTCCATATGCTAATATTCTGCTGGACAATGTCCTGGGCTTTTTGTGAATTCTCATGAAATCCCAAGCAACCCTCTGAGGTAGGTACTACTATGATTTCCATTTTACAAATGAGAAGAGAGTCCACTCGACCCCAGCTTATAAAAATTATTCCTTATTATATTTGTTTCCTATTTGGAATTTCAAAGTACTTCCCTCCCCCCAGCCCAATACCCTACTGATTAAAAATGAAGCAAAGAAAAGCTGTGTGCATGACTGTGCATGGGTTGCTTGCTGGGAGCCTGGGGTCTCTGGGTTCATCTCCTTACTTAATTCTTCTAATACCTCTGGGAGGCAGTTATTATTACTCATTTAATAGGGGAGGAAATTGAAACTCAGAGAAGTGAAGACACTTGCCCAAGGTCATGCCAGAAAGGAGTGGGGCCAGACCTACAGCCCAAGTCTAACTCCAAGGTCTTGGGCTTTGGGCTCTGTCTCCTGTCCCTTCTAAATGTCTCTGGGTCTGTATCAGCTACACAGTTCTTAGGTGTTTGTTTGTTTGTTTAACTATTTTCTGCCCCCTAGAAGCTGGGAGGCCTGAAAGCCCCTCTCTGTCCTTGTGGCTGGCTCCCATGGTCTTGAAGAGTTAGAGAAGACCAGAGCAGCTTTTAAACCCAAGACCCTGGGTGAGATTGAGGTGAGAGGGGCCGGGCCATCAGGGTGAGGGCAGAGGGGAAGGATCTGGCTCTCACAGCCCACGAGGAACTTCTCTATCACTTCCTGCAAATAACAGAAGTAGACATGCAGAAGGACTTGTGGTGGCAACAGAGGAGGACAGAGAACCAAAACTGTCCCCCCTGGCAGCCAGTGGGTTTGCAGTTTGAGACTGTCCCAGTCCCCTAGATTGGGGGTGTGTGAGTGTAATCCCAGCTTTGGTGTTTGTGGGGTCTGAACCTGAAATCTCGGCCCTACCATCTACTGGCTGTGTGCAACTGGGCCAATGCTGGGCCTGCCCGCATGTAGTGTGCTCCCTTCTGTATAAAATAGGGATATTGATTTTTACTACAGCATCTGTAGCAGCGCCAGCATGTAAGGTGGTGCGCCAGGAGCCCAGTGCCTATCCCAAATGGAGTCCAGTAGAGCTTTTTACTCTCCCCTTCCTTTGCTGCCTTCCTTGTCCTCTGGTCCTGGAGTGAGTGTGGAGTGCCACTTTGTAACCCTCTGGGGTCACCTCTGCTGCTTCCTGTCCCTCAGACCCCCAGCTCGAACCTGCTGTCCAAGTGACACCTGAGCTCCCCTGGAGAAGGACAAGGGAGCCAAGAAACCCAAGCCAAACCCTGGCTTCCTGGGCAAGAGCCCTGGCCACTCCCAGCTTTGGCCCAGACCCTCCACCTGGTCCTCCCCTCCCCTTTGTCCCTGCTGTCAACAATGACTCACAGATCAAAGGACATCCCAGCAGGGATCCTTACCTTGGGTAACTTCAGGGTTGGGAGCTCTGGAAATTAGAAACAAACCTGTGTGTTCATACTTCTCTGGAATTAGAATCCTCGGGGATCCCTTATGTCTCCGGATAGATTTGAGATGGGAGAGTGTGTTCTAGAACCTTTCTTTGAACTTAGCAACTTGCAACTTGAGTGGGAAAAGTCTGGTCCCAACCACAAAAGGGAGTGAACCAGAGATGAAGAATCCACCTCTTCCATGAGGGAGGGAATTCCTAGGGGAGGGCAGACCTTTGGCTTAGATCCAACAGAACCATTCATAGTCTTTCTATTTGGCTCATTCATTCATTCATTCATTCATTCCATCAGTCAGCATTTACCATTACCTACAATGTGCTTGGCTTTGCACTAATACTGAACATCAGTGTTCTGATGTCTAAAGTGTGTTCCTATAGACCAGCCTCATTAGAATCCCTTGGGTTAAAAATATAGACCCCTGCACCTGGGCCACTGAGGGCATTGCCTGGGACTGTGCATTTTAAACAGGCTTCCTGGGCTCATTAAACAAGTTGAGAGCCATTGCTAGATCCTGGCATCTTTCCTAGCCCTTGCCATTGGTACGCCTGAGGTCCCGGCACTGTGCCTGCACTCAAAGAGTGCTGGTTGGCCTGAAAACATGGTCCCAACCTTCCCTCTTCCTTTGTTTCCCTTGCCCTCCTTCCCCTGCCAGCCCTGTGAGGGAGATGGAGGGAATAGCTGCCCGCCCTATCCGCCCACCACAGCCTGGGCACCAGGGGTACAGTCTCGGGCAGATTGTGAACCCCAACGGCAGAGACCCTGTCTCAGCCTGCACTGCTCCGTCCTTGCTGGGCAAAGATCTGATAGTACCAATTAACGTCAACAAGGCTCCCTCGCCGCCCGGGCCTGTCCTGAGGCTTTGCTAATTAATGCCTCCATGGTCCCTTGGGTCCCTGGAATGAGAGGTTTGGGGAGTCCTGGAGAAACTGAATGGTTTCAATCCAAAAGGATCTTTCCTCCCAAGCAAGCATAAGGAGACTGGGACTGGCTTTGGCAGTGGCATGGGAAATGGGATCTAGAACAATATAATTTTTTTTAAAGATTTTATGTATTTATTAATGAGAGACACATACAGAGAGGCAGAGACACAGGCAGAAAGAGAAGCAGGCTCCACGCAGGGAGTCCAACATGGGACTGGATCCTGGGACTCCAGGATCACACCCTGAGCCAAAGGCAGATGCCCAACCACTGAGCCACCCGGGCGGCCCTAATAGCTAACATTTCTTGAGCACTCCACATGGCAGGCACTGGCCCAGAGGCTTTACATATGGCATCCCACTTAATACCCACTTGTACTCCAGGAGATAGGTACTAAGACATCCCCAATTTTACAGAGGAGCACAGTGAGATACAGTGTTCTGTCCAAGGTCAAATAGCTAGTCCAAGGTCACAAGAGGGCTCAACCCCGGGCCATCTGACTCTGAAGTCTGAGCCCCTGCTCTTGCTTTCCAGGGCTTCCACACTCACAGCCCTCTGGGTTCCCACCCTAGCCGCGGCCTCTTGCCCACAGCCAGGCGTTCACTCTCTGTTGGGTCCCACAGACAGGTTGGCAGAGGGAGATGTCCATACTGCTGTGGCCTTTAGATCCCTCTCCTAGCTGTGACTTTGGACGTGATCATGCACTTCCTATTCCTGCAAAGGGTGCCGCCACAGGGCGGGTTGGGTAGGGCAGGGACAGGTCCTTCCCCTCTTCAAGAACCTATAGGACAAGGTCAAGAACCTATAGGACAATCAACACCCTGTGCCCCGCAGGACAGAGTTGGTCTCCCTGCTGGGGAGACGCCTCCTGCCTCCCGGAAGAGTGTGAGGGTGGGTTAAGCGGTTGGGGCATCATATATACAGGGCCAGGGGCTTGCCCCAGGAGCCTGTCTCCAGCGTGACTCTGGGGTAACTTGGAACTGACACCAGATTTCTAGAAACGGGGTGTGTGTGTGTGTGTGTGTGTGTGTCTGGATAGTTGATGGTGTTGGCCAGCCTCTGTGGGCAAATGCTGCAGCCCCGGGATGGGTCGTACAGCAGGGACAGTAGAGGTAGCCCCAAGTTTGAGCTGTGCCTCTGCCACTTTCTAGCCGTGGGACTTTGGGTAAGTGAGCAACCGCTGAGACTTAGAGCCCCGGTTCTTCATCAGTGAAATGGGTGTAATAGTTCCTATATCATCAGGTCGTGGTGAGAACTAAATGAAGTGCCACATTCAGTGCCCTGGGCTCCCACTCCACACCCCTGCCTCCTGGTCAGGGCCGGGCATTCACCTCCACAGCCGGGCAGAGGGCAGTGGTGCGGGCAGAGGGGAAAGTCCACGGAGTGGGAGGTCTTGGCTGCACAGGGAGAGCTACCTGGTGAGTGCCGGCCCAGCAGTTTTTCTGTAGGTGTTTGAGCCCCTGGCAACATTGCTCCATATTTATTCATTAGGGACTATGCAGGCCAATTTGGAGTGATGCTCGGAGACCCCAGTGAGAGGCACTGAAATCCAGAAATAATTCCAGGGCATCTCAGGGGCACTCCTGCTCCCCGGTTTCCCCTCCTCCTCGCCCCTCCTCCCCCAAGCGGCCTCCAGCACACCCTCCCACCTCCTCCCCCCACCCTGCCATCCACATCTGGATTCAACTAGGGAACAACAGGCTTTCTGTGAAGGCCTCCACCTTCTTCTGTGCACCCCCACCCTTCTCCAGTTCAGAACTTTGGTTCTCATGGTGGGGAGGGGAGGAAGGGGTCGGAGAGCTGAGACATCTCTTTTCCCAAACCTCTGGTGTTGGGGTAAAGCCTGCACAAGGCCCCTATACCTCCCTGTGGTCCGGATTCTGACCATTCCCTGTTGCTCAGGCTTTGCCAAGGGGCCAGAAGCCCTGGTTCAGACCTGGGACTGGCAGTCTGCAGGCACAAGGGGGAGACGCCAAGTCCCTGGGGGGGCGGGGAGGGGACCTCCACCCCACTCCCTAGGCCAGGGAGCGAGGCCACCCCTCCCCACCAGAGAAGTCCTGCTGGGCTTCTGGAGACCAGACAGTAAATTAGAATGTGGCACTCACAGTTGAAGGCAGCTGTAACTCTCATTAAAGTGACATCAACCCCACCGCAGGAAGATGCTGTAAATCAGGGGAAGGGGGCATTCATCCAGGGAGAACCACAGAAGCAAAGAGAAAACCCCATAAACAGAGAAGACGTGGTGTCTGCAACTAATGGTGGGGCTCTGCCCACAGCCTCCACTGAAATGGGGGTGGGGAGGGGCTCCAGGTTCAGGGAGTGAGGTGGAGGTCTTGAGGCAGGCTCAAATCTAGCCAAGGGCACAGCCAAAGCCCTCCTTCTGTTTTTTTCTCCTCTGCCCTTTCTGCACATTCTCGGGCTGAGCCTGGTCCCTGCAGGGGTGAGGGGGGGCACTGTTGGGGACAGATCACTGTTCACGGGCTTTCTCGATGGTAAGAGGAGCAGCTGGCATTAGCTGTTAGAATTATTTAATGGGTTAAAAAAAAAGAATTATTTCCTGGGAAAGATAAGCTGGTGGCCAAACACTGGGCTTAGAGCTGGCCACCGGGCTTCAAATCCTGACCCGGCTTCAAATCCTGACCCAGCGACTTGCTGTAGGTCTTGGGGGGGTGGGCGAGGGTACCTTTGGAAGCCTATGCTTTTCGGCAGAAAATTGGAAACAGTCATCATACCACAGGGGCTTGGTGTAGGTAAACCTGTGGCAGTGTGTGGCTGTCTGAAGGTGCTGTTTGTCGAATGACTAAAAGAATCCACAAATCCCTGTAACCCCAGAGGCTGGTATTTCTTTCAGATCCATTCCCTGCTGCCTGAGTCTGGTTCAGCCAGTAATTTGCTGAGACCCCTTGGGCAAGTTACTAATTTTGTATTGTTGTTGTCGTTGTTGTTTTTCTCCCAAGGCTTTGGGTTTTTTCCCCTGGGATATGAAGTAGTTGTTAAGAGGTTGACTCTGGCTTGGATGGTACTGCATACAGTAGAAGCATCACGCCTTTGCCCTGGGGTCTGTAGGGATCAGGCCTCAGGGTCTCTATGAATAATGGGCGTCATTCCAGAACCTTCCTCTGGAATCCTTCTGGACTCCCTCCTCCCCACCCACATGGGTACACTCTGCTGGGAGGTCACATTACCTCTCTGCTCTATAGACAGGGGAGTGGGGGGGGGGAGTGCTCCATTCTGAGGAAGGATCAAGGCCATCAGGCTCGCCTGAAGGTTGAGTGAAGGAGAAAGAGTGGGCTGGGGAATTCCTGCATGCTCCTCTTTCAGGGGCATCAGAATGACCTAGAGGCCCCGTAAAATGACAGAGGGGGTGAGGGGGCTTCTGCCAGAGTTCTGTTTCAGCAGGTCCGAGGTGGGGTCCAAGAAGGGCATTTCTAATCAGTTCTCAGGTGATGCCGACGCTGCTGGCGAGAGGGGTCTTGCCAGAATTCAGGCTCCCTTTCCTGTTACTGCTGCTCAGGTGAATGGGAAGGTGAGGCCAACTCCAAGATGCCACTGCACATGCTTCCGAGTCACCTGGGAGCCTCAGAGGCCAGCATCCACAGGTGCTCATGGAGCTGGCCTAGGTCCTCCAGTGGAACATGTGTTCTGAGCCTTCTGAGAGCTCCCCGGCTGCAGAGCGCACTGGGGTTGCAAATTCAACTTCCTGAGGGCCTCGCTCACTCCTTCCCACCAAAAAAAAGGTTAGTGACAAGGGGTGGTGGGGGGGAGAGAGAGAAAAAAGCAGGAATTAAATTGGGTGGAATGGTCTAGAAGAGCCGTTTAGCATGATGATAAGTTGAAAGGAAAGGCGGGACAGTCAGGCTCCCGAAACCCAGAAATGACGCTGGGCTTGGGGAAGGAAGGATGATTCACGTCTGCAGGGGGCCAGCCGGAAGCAGAGCGGGTACAGGGGGCCCTGCTGATTTAAAGGTGCTTCTGGGGCACATCTCACTGCCAGGGAGGGAGGCTGATGGTGGGTGAATGTGGCCGCCCAGACTTCCTGAGGGTCAGGAGCAGGGGTGAGGTGAGGGAGGGCCAGGAGGGCCGCCGGCTTCACCAGCAGGACCCGACTCACCCACATGCAAAGCCTGGCTCACGAGAAGCACCCCAATGCCCCGCACCTGCCATCTCCTTTCTGGGCACCCCTGTACTGTTCTTCAATCTCTTGAGAAAGCCAGGCCCGAGGCCAAACCCCCTCTAGGGACAGTGTCCAGGGGCTCAGGACCTGCTGCCTGTACACCAACCCCACTTCCCATCCTGCAATTAGTGGCTTCCAGGCCCTCTGGGGGTGCCGTGGCTATGGTGATCCATTTTCCTCACCCCCACGAAATGACACACGGCCTGCATCAGGAAGGGATGAACTCATGGGGGCACAAGAAAGAATTACTGGAATAGGGGCTGACTTTGAATTTATGGTGTGTGTGCTCACCATGCGACCCTAGTGCTGCAGCTTTCACAGCACTCCACCATTTGCATTACAGTATTTTGTGCTTCCCACAACCCCAAGAGGAAGGCAGAGAGGTTATTAGATCCAATTTAAAATTGACAAATATGGGGCACCTCAGTGGTTGAGTGTCTGCCTTCGGCTCATGTTGTGATCCCGGGGTCCTGGGATGGAGTCCCAAGAGGAGCCTGCTTCTCCCTCTGCCTATGTGTCTGCCTCTCTCTGTGTGTCTCTCATGAATAAATAAATAAAATATTTTTAAAAAATGACAAATATGAGGGTACGAGGCACCTGGGTGGCTCAGTCAGTTGAGCATCTGACCCTTGATTTCGGCTCAGGTCGTGGTCTTGGGGTCTGGGATAGAGCCCTGTGTCAGGCTCTGCACTCAGTAGGGAGTCTGCTGGTGATTCTCTCCCTCCCTCTGCCTCTGCCCCTCCTTCCTTCAAATCAATCAATCTTTGTTTTTGGGTTTTTTTTTAAAGATTTATTTATTTGAGAGAGACAGAGATAGTGACAGAGAGCACAAGCAGAAGGAGAGGGAGAAGCAGTCTCCCAGCTGAGCAGGGAGCCCGATGTGGGGATCGATCCCAGGACCCTGAGATCAATAAATAAACTTTTGAAAAAGTAAAAATGAGAAAAATGGGAGTAAAAAGAAATGAAAGAACTTGCCCAAAGCAGCACATCTAAGTAAGAATTGGGCCCCAGCAGGAATGGCCGGCTGCTCATTCCCATTCGGCTTCTCTCCTACAAGGGAATTTAACTCCCTCTTGGAAACTGATGTTATGCTCGGGGTAGGAAGAGAGAGGCGGGAGGCTGTAGTCTGTAGTCCTGGGTGCTGGGGTGCAGGGCCCAGAGCCCCCCTCCAGGCTGGAGGCCCTGGTTGGGAGGCTCACAGCTCTGGGCCTACAGAACCACCTCAGCTGGAGGGAGCTGTGTAGCCGAAGGTTAGGACTCCTCCTGAAGTGGGGTGGGGGGCGGGGGGGGGATAGTTTCCATCTAAAGACAGGTTGACGTGGAGTATGAGGCTGGCCCCCTTGCCACGGGTGGGACATCTCTGCAGGCCACTCAGCTCCAGAAGGCCCTGCTGGCAGGCTTGGCCCAGTCCCACTTCCTTCTGTCCCCACACGGGGTGGGGGGCGGTCATCCCAGCAGCACCCAGTATTTCTGAGATGCATTTCCTGGGAACTTCAGGCAGAAGAAGGGAGCTAACATCAGCGGGATGCTCTTTCTTTCTTCTTTCTTTCTTTCTTTCTTTCTTTCTTTCTTTCTTTCTTTCTTCTTTCTTTCTACATTGCTTCATTTAATAAATCTATGAAATAAACATTTTTGGTTTTTAATCATTGAGGAAAGGTTAAAGAAGTACAGACCAAGTCGTATCTGGCAAAGCTGGGACTCTCACCCAGATCCACGGTGACTTTGAGGATGCCCTCTTCCCACTGTATGGGAAGTGGGGGAGACCCTTGACCCTGACCTGTGGGGTTTAAGACCATGTTCAGGCAGGGATGTGAGCACCCATGGGAGGGGCGCTCCTGAGTCAGGTGCAGGTGGGGGATGCAAGGGGGCGGGGAACAGTGGCCACATGTGTTGGTCTCTGGTGGCCAAGGGGGCAGCAGGCAGCTCGGGTGGAAGACCTCAGGCTGGCCACGGATCCTGGAGCCAGAGCCGCAAACACCTCCAGCCTGGGCCAGCAGCAGCCACAGCGGCAAACCCCGAATCTCCTCCCTAGGGCCCTGTGTGGTGGGGACTGCTGGCTCTGCATCTCCCCAGGACACACGAAGGTCACCCATGCTCCAGCTGTTTGGCAAGAGCCTGGCGACCCTGTCCCAGTGAGGGGAAGGGGAGCCTGAGCATCTCTGGCCCTCACAGAGCTGAGGACTTGCCCCCTGCCTGGACCCTGGGGCCAGTTCTGGTTGCAGTCAGGGAGGGAAGGGGGAGTTCAAGGTCACTTTGCCACCTGCAGTGATGACCCCCCCTCCTGTCTTACAGATTTTCCCTTAGGCCCCAGCACCCTGTACATTCTGGAGATGACAGCGGGAAGAGGCCCCTTCCTGAACTTTTGTCTCTTGAGGCCTGGGTCCAGTTGGAGAGCCGTCCCCCTGAGGGGAGATGGCCTGAAATGGCACAAGGGGAAGAGCAGCAGACACGACCCTGGTTCTGGTGGGTTTTCTTAGCATGAATTGCCATCCTCTGTCAAGCTGTGGCATCAATTTGGAAAGAGGTTCATCTGAGCCGCCTTATCCCCCTGAAAGATTCTGAATACATATTTACCAGTTCACATTAGTAGAAACAAACATAACTCTGTGTCTTTTCCTATTCATCAGGTCCTTCAACTGTGAACCTGAGCTGTGGGCAACGCAACCTTCCCCATCAAGGTTAAGGAGCAGGTGTCTGAAAGTAGCACCTGCTGTATACACCCTCGGGAGTTAGAAATCTCTGTTCCCTCACATACCCAGCAAAGCACCCCTCACCTCCGGAACCGAGACTGAGTACCTTGAAATGAAATGGCAGGCCCGGGTCAGGGGCTGGGGAGCGGGATTTGCCTGCGATAGGCCTTCCCCCAGGAGAGAACAGCAGCAAGTTTCTTTCCAGGGCTGGGCCCTGCTTTCCTCACCAGGTGGGGAATGTTCTTTCAGCCACAAAGGAGGTACATCTGTGACTGCTGTCTTTTTCTTTTCTTTAAAAAAAAAAAAGTCTTTGTGAGAAAAATCCTGTGGTTCTACTTGTTTTCTCTGAGTGGTTTGTTAGTTGAGGTGTTTGCATGCTGAGCAACACACACTAATATTTTTCCTCCTTAGCAAAACATTAATTATCCTACCCGGTAACTTTTCTCTTGGGCGTTTTTTTTTTTTTTCTTTACCACCCCCTAAGCTGTGGGGCACTGAGCAATTTCTGCATTTCCTATCATCTCTGCAAGCTGACTGGTGTGTTGAAGGAGAGAGCTGTCCTCCTTGGCTGGGCGCAGGTCTGCCTCCTGGGTGCAGGCCGCTCTCCCAGCGCTGTTCACGCTGGGTGGAGCCATCTGTTTACCACCTCTCTCGTCCCCCCACACCCCCCACAAGGCTGTGAATACACTTCTGGATTCCCATCCCCCAGAATGGTGCCTGGCACATAGCAGCGGCTCTACAAAGGGTTGCTGCTGAAGCAGGTGCATGAATGACATGGAAGGCGCTACAGAAGAAAGGATGAGGAGCCAGGGGGGTACATGAGCCTCCCCTGTGGCACCCCAGCCCCCCCTTCTGTATAAGGAGCAGTTGTAGGCTCAATTTGGGTCCTTTGCTCTTCCTGGCACTTGGTGAGTCCCATGCTGTGTGCCCATCTACAGCCATTCTCAGCTGCCAGCCAGGCGGAGGGTGCACAGGGAGCCCGGTCCCCCCCCTTCCCCAGGCTCCTTTCAGCTGAGGTTTCAAACGGGACAGAGGAGATAATTCAGACCCTGGAGTCTGGGGATGGAGCCCCTGGGGAGCAAGTGCAGAGTTTAGCGATCACTCAGCATCAGCCACTTCCCATCTCCCAGGTTAAAGATGAGACCCCTAAGGCCCGGAGAGCGGAGATGTCTGGTTCCTGGCTACCTAGCTCCTAGCTGGAGCGATGGGGCTGGAACTCAGACCCAGCAGTCAGGGAAACAAGAGTGGGGGGGTGGGATTCTATTCCCTGCTGCTGCCACTTCCCTGCCTCCAGGAAAGGAGGAGGGAGTGGCACCATCCCCAGGTGTGCTGCACGAACTCCTGTCTCCTGCCTTATCTGATCCCCGTGGCTTCCCTCTGAAGCAGGCAGTCTGGTGATGGTTGGCTCCATTTCACAGATGCGGACACTGGGGTGCAGAAAGTGAGAGTGACCTGCCCAAGGAAGCAGAGCTGGCCAGCGGCAGAGGCGGGGCTTGTGTTTGGTTCTCAGACTCCACAGCTTGTGCCCCCCCACCACTCCGTCTCTCCAATGGGGTCTCTTCTGCTGCTCTAACCCTCTATCCTGGAGCCCCAGGGCACCCCACTCCACCTGGCTGCAGCAGATACCAGATGCTCTGCTCTGGTAGGTGTCCTGGGAGGTAAAACCAGAAGACAGGATCCTGCCTCCCGCCCAGGTCCAGGCCTTTGCCTCCCCCTGCAGCCTCTCTGTGGGTCCTGGAGCTCCCTGTTCTAGGACTGGGAGTCTTCAGAGGGCTCCAGCTGGGGTGCGAGGGATGGTATCAGGGAGCTCGGCACACACCACACAGTAGGCTAATGTGCTGGATGCCGGGGAGTGCCCACCGGCACCTCCAGGCCTCCCTCGGTGGTGTTGGCTGACATAAAACCTCCCTCCAGGGATCCCCGGGTGGCTCAGTGGTTTAGCGCCGCCTTCAGCCCAGGGCGTGATCCTGGAGTCCTGGGATCGAGTCCCACATAGGGCTCCCTGCATGGAGGCTGCTTCTCCCTCTGCCTGTGTCTCTGCTTCTCTCTCTCTCTCTCTCTCTCTCTCTCTCTCTCTCTCTCTGTGTGTGTGTCTCTCATGAATAAATAAATAAATCTTTTTTAAAAAACCCTCCCTCCAACAGGACAAATTTTACAAAAGAAAACCGTCCCCTAGCATCCTACCTCGGGAAAGGGCAGGTAGCTAGCTCACAAGGGCTTCTCTTTCAGCTCCCACCTACCCTTCGGCCCTGAACTTGAGGGAGCTATTCCCTAGCAGCAGTGAGCCCTGCGCACTGGCTTAGTTTCCACTCAGAACTTCCCAGGACAGGGTAAGTGATTAACACACTTCCTTTTTGGGCATGTGCACCCCTACTCCTCGTGTGCTCTAGATAAAGGCACCCAAGTGGCTGCTCCGTATAAATGTGTTTTCTCCAAGATAAGACTTTTGCCTTACAACCTGCCCCCCTCTAAGATTGGTTCTTGTTGCCTGGTCTCAGGAGCTAAGAGAGAGAAGATTATCTGAGCTTGTCTTATTTATTGACGATCTAGTCTGTCTGGCCCACCCCTACACCATCAGCCGTAATGCCATAATAGGTCTGTGCATAAACTAGTGCTAAGGTCATATACTAGAATCCTGTTACTATATAGCTTACCTACCAGTGAGCTGCCTCTAAAACCCAGATGCTGCACAAAGGAATTTTGCACTTTCAGTAGCTGGCCCAGGGGCCTGTGGGTCTGTTCTCATCAGTGTCCTGCTTGCAAACCCAGTGGTTCTCCATTAGGGTTACACTCGGGCGCCTCATTCCTCACCTCGGCCCTCAAAGCTTGGCCCCATCTTCCTGGACCTGCCAGGTTGGTTCTCTTCCTCCCTTTCTACCTTCCTTCCACTATTTATTTATTTATTTATTTATATTTTATTTATTTACTCATGAGAGACAGAGAGAGAGGCAGAAACACAGGCAGAGGGAGAAGCAGGCTCACTGCGGGGAGCCCGTTGTGGGACTCCATCCTGGGACTCTGGGATCACAATCTGAGCCTAAGGCAGACACTCCACCACTGAGCCAGCCAGGTGTCCCATTCCTTCCACTATTTAAAGAGCTCCAGGGCAGCCCGGGTGGCTCAGCGGTTTAGCACCACCTTCAGCCTAGGGCATGATCCTGGAGACTGGGGATGGGGTCCTGCATCGGGCTCCCTGCATGGAGCCTGCTTCTCCCTCTGCCTGGGTCTCTGCCTCTCTCTCTGTGTGTGTCTCTCATGAATAAATAAGTAAAATCTTTTTTAAAAAAGGAAAATGAAATTTAAAAAAAAGTAAATAAAGAGCTCCAGCTGGCTCCAGACCCTGTTCTAAATGCAGAGGACTTCCTTTCACTTATCTTACATGACGGGGTGGAGCCAGATAAAAGCAGATATTCAAAGAAGTCAGGTAAATTCAGGTAAGCGCTGTGAGTTCAGGGAAAAGGGTGATGCGTGGTGGTGGGAATGATGCTGAATTCTTCACCCCACCCCCAGGACCTGCACAGGTAAGTACCTCCCAGAAGGCACGCCCACATTCACCTCCAGACTTTATCTGGCATCTGGCAGCGCACACAGTGGCTTTCAGACAGTCCGAGTCCCCTCGGGCAGCTGAGCTCTAAGCTCCCCTAGGGTAGAGAAATCATCTCCAGCTCTATGCCTTTCGCTTGCCCAGCACATGCCAGGGGCAGAGTAACTGCTGGGAAAATGCACAAGGATCTCTCCTACCTCAGAGCCCAGAGCACACAGGGCCCAGCCCCAGGTCATAGGCTGAGAAGAGAGCCACTTTGGTCCCCTGGAAAGGGTGGGGGGGGGGGCATCGTTAAATGAGAAATTTCATCCCAGGGTCGGGGTTGGGGTGGAGGATTTAAACCAATCCAAGTAATTCTCTAACAGGAACAAGTCAAATTCTTTTAAACTTTTAAATAGTTTGCTTTGACAAGGAGCCTAAGAGTATCATGCCTATTCCTTGGCTTGGAAATGTCTGGAACTACGCATGGGAGTGGGGGGAAATTTTTCCTGTCTCTGTATTTTGATGAAGAGTAGGGGCTGGGTGTGTGGGATCGCTGCATGGGGGAGGTGGGGGTGCACTTTGCTGGATCGTATTGTTGAGTCTGTGCGCAGCGGGAGTCTGTGTGGTATCTGTGACTGTGTCTGAAATATTGGCATAGGATGCGTGTGTGGTTGGGTGCGTGGGTGACAGCGCATGGCTGGTGCGCGTGCATATGTGCTGCGTGTGCTGTGGAGGGTATGGAGGTGTGCTCCTGTGATCTTCCAGAAGGCAGTGAGACACTTGCCCAGGGCCCCGAGAGGTCCTCTGCACCCTTACAGAGATAGGACCCTGGAGAGGTGGGGCACCAGTGGTCTGGGCTCTTGGGTTCCCTGGCAGCTGGGACTTTACTCTCCTGGGTGGTAGTTGGGGCTTTATAAAGGATTAGCAGCCACCAGAGCCTCCCCTCTCTGTGGGCCTTTTGGGCGACACCCTTGCCGCTTCAGCTTTCCTTTATGATCCCTTCGTTTTGAAGCCCTTTCTTCAGCACCGTCCCCACTCCCTATCCTACTGCCCAGAGCAGACACCAAAATATTTCTGTTTCCTCTGGAAAAATCCTGGGAGGTCTGTTTATGGCTTCAGCAGAGCAGCACACATCTGTGCACAGTTTAGCTGGGGCAGCTGGAAACTCAGGAACTGGAGTTTTCTGGAATCCAGAGCACACTGGGGCTTCCCTATCTCTGCACGACTGTCACGCAGCAGTGAGTTCTTGTTCAGCTAGAGAGCCCTTTGCTGGTCCCGGTCTGCACACACCCACACTCGGGGACCAGACTTCCCGGTGACATACGAGGCCCAGGACGCACGAGCACACAGGTGTGCCAGCACATTCCGGGAATAATCTCGAGCATAGCTCCTTGGGGTATGGGGACCCACTTACACACACAGGGCTGGCACCCTGGGACCTGTCACACATGTGCAACTCCTCTATCTGTCAACGACGCTGATTCAGCGTCCCCACACGTGGACAGGCAACACACACAGAAGGTGTGATTCACCTTCAGCCTCCTACGGAAACCCACCCTGGGCCAGCCTCAGTTTCAGGCAACACCTGCCCCGTGGGGTAACAGGATAGGCCCGCCCTCCCCTGGAAGAGCCAGGTACTTTCGGGAACCTGGGAATGCCCCTGTCCTTCCCCGTCCTCTGCTCCTTCCTTGATAGAGGCTGCCCCTCACCTCCTCTTTGGCTCTGGGCACCTAGGATCTCCTCCTCAGTGGGTCAGCCTGAGAT